TATGCTGCCAGTTTTTCTTTAACCTTAAGTGACAAAAAGATGTATTGACTATTGTATTGATATTGAAATTAGGTAATTATAGACTATAGTTGGATAAATTCTCTTTGAACAAGTGATGAATATGAAAGTAAGGTGAACCAATTTTTAGCATTTGCAAAAAACGATGTTCCTAATAATAATGGGTTGTTCTATTATTTTTGTGTCAGTGTTTAAATGGGTTGCAATTAAGTGTTGTGAAAATAAATAATCACCTAATTTGTTTTAGGGAAGGAAGAGCACCCATGCTATGTTAGGGAGGTGTAGAGAGGCATTGGTTTTAGAGCATATTTTAGATCACCATCATCGTCTCGCTAAGGATCCAAAGATATTCCAAAAGAACAAGTGCAGATCATTATAGAAGAAGATATGAATAATTGTAAAAATGAAAGTAAGTTAGAAGTGATGCAATTACAACAATCTTTCTAAGAGAAGATGATGGAAATGCAATCAATGATGAAGACTTTTAATTTAATGTAGATGTAATCTCTTTCACAACAACCTCTTATACCGGCAAGCTTTGAAGGTAGTAATCATTCAAAGCAAGGGATGTCATGTATAATTTATTTGGAGGATCCTAAGAGATGTATAGTTGCATATGGGAAAGTATATCACAATGCAACAACAATCCACCATCAAAAGATACAAGATAACCAGGTGAACGTAGTACTTGAAGATGTTGTTGATAGTAATGCCTTGGTGCCATTCCCCATGATGAAATCAATACAATTGAAGAAATTCAACATTGTCTCATTATTTAGGTGAGAAGTCTAGTCCAACAGGGTACTAGTGAGGTATGAAAAGTCTTATAGTTTTCTATATTTCTTAATTAACATGATATATATTAATAATTGCTTATTATAATTTATTAGGATATTATGCAATCAATGGAATCTATAGGTTCAAATCCCCCATAAGCCAATAGTCCAATTATCCAACTAAAAGAAGAAGCCTTGAAATGATTAAGTTATGTGACAATCGACATGGAAGAGCTATATGAATGAGATTTGAGTAATGATTTTAAAATAAGAATAAGCAATAAGGATGTTTTGGATCTCATTGCTTTTGAATAATTGAACTTATCAATAATTCAATTTTTTATGGTATAAATGTTTTTTTATTTTAATACTTAATATTTTTATTTTGTTAGTAATATATTTGTTTTAATCAAAGGTACCTGCACAACTTTTGTAAAACCTACAACAGCAATCAACATTATGGGTTCTTTAGCCTATATTTTATTTAACCCAATATGTGCACAATAAATGAGAGAATATCTTATATTGAAACGAGGATTATACAAGAAGACAAATCATGTTGGTTTGCACCTTTTATTGAAGGGTATTTAATTTCTAATTCACCTATCATTTTATAAAAATTTTACTTAATGATGTGATATTAATATAAACTCATATATTGTAAAAATTATTAGATGCTTCTTGTCATTTACCTATAAGAAAAGACTATATATTGATCTTGTTCTTTAAGAAAGGAAGTTCGTAGAGATACCACAGAAGTAACTGAATCGTAAGTTTTACTTTTGAATATCTTTATTTTATGATATTATAAGCATATGTTATTTTTTTCTCACAAATATTTGATAAATAGAGCTTTGAAGATGTATTTTAAGTTAGGAAGGGAAAAAGAAAGGCAAAAAATTTTTTGACTATGTTTGGGTGCATTTAATAGTAAATATTTTAAATTTATTCACTCATTAAAATAATTATATTATTGATTATATCAATTTAATTGTTCTCATTTTGTGAATATTCAGTTCAAGACAACTCAGAAGCAAAGAGTGTGGCTAGTATATAATGATATACATGTTAGAAATAATTACAAGTGGTATTGTGAAATCATTTATAAGGTAATAATAATTTATCAATTGTGATTTTGTTAAAGATGTATAATTTTACTTGAATTATTTTCTCGTATATACTTTTCTTTTTTAATTTATATCACTTTAATACTTCAGAGAAATATTCTAAATAAGAGCTAAGACATGTTTGTAATATTTGGTCACAAATTTTATTAGAATTTGTTGGATTTGTATAGATATATAGCCTTTTATGTGTGAACTTTATATTGGTAGAATTGGATACTATAAAATTACAGGGTTGTAAAAAAGGGTATAGATTTCATAATTCACACTTAAAAACTTATAATTTTATAGTATTCAATTCTACCAGTATAGAATTTACACAAAAAGCTATATACCTACATAAATTTAGCAAATTCTAACAAAGCTTATGACCAAACATTTTGAACATATCTTTGCTCTTGTTTAGAATATTTATCCAAAGTATTGAACTGTTATAAATTAAAAAAGTATATTTAAGAAAATAATTCAAGTAAAATTCTACATCTTTAACTAAAACATGATTGATAAAATATTATTACCTCATGAAATGATTTCACAATACCACTTGTGATGATATCTAACATGTATATCATTACATAGTAGCCATACTCTTTGCTTTCAGATTGTCTTAGACACTGAATATTCACAAAATGAGAATGATCAAATTCATATAATGAATAATATAATTATTTTGATGAGTGAATAAATTTGAAATACTTACTATTAAACTCATTCAAACCTAGTTCAAAATCTTTTTTGCCTTTCTTACCCCCTCCTAACTTAAAATACATTTTCAAGGTTCTAGTTATCAAATATTTGTGAGAAAAAAAATAATATGTGCTTATATATCTCAAAACAAAAATATCAAAAAAAGTAAAACTTATAATTAAATTACTTCTTTTATATCTCTATGAACTTTCTTTCATAAAGAACAAAACCAATATATAGTCTTTTCTTGTAGGTAGATAACATGAAGCATCCAATGATTTTCACAATATATGAGTTATATTAATATCACATCATTAAGTAATTTTTCATAAAATGATAAGTGAATTAAAAATTAAATACCCTTCAATAAAAGGTGTGGACTAGCATGACTTGTCTTCTTGTATAATCATCATTCTAATATTAGATGTTCTTTCATTCATTGTGTACATATTGTGCTAAATAAAATATGAGCTCAAGAACCCATTATATTAATTGTTGTTGTAGGTTTTTCATAAGTTATGTAGGTGCTTTTGATAAAAACAAATATGTTAGTAACAAAATAAAAACCATAAGCATTGAATTAAAAAAATTAAACACTTACACTAGAAAAAATTAAATTATTGATAAATCCGATCATTCAAAAGCAATAAGATCCAAAATATCCTTCTTGCTTATTCTTAATTTAAAGTCTTGCCCCACAATTTCTGGACTCAAATCCCATTTAGACAGCTCTTCCATATTGATTGTCACATAATTTAATCGTTTTAAGGCTTCTTCTTTTCTTGGTTGGATAATTAGAATATTGGCCTATAGGAGATTTGAACATAAAGATTCATTTAATTGTATAATATCCTAATAAATTATAATAAATAATTAAAAATATATACCATGTTAATTGAGAAATATAGAAAACTATAAGACTTTTCATACCTTAATAGGAACCTGTTGGATTAAACTTCTCACCCAAAGAATAAGACAATGTTGGACTTCTCCAATTGTATTAATTTCATCATGAGGAACGATACTAAGGCATTCCTATCAATAACATCTTCAACCACTACCTTCACCTGGTTATCTTGTATCTTTTGATGGCAGATTGTTGTTGCAATGTGACATACCTTCTCATATGCAAACAACACATCTCTTAGGATCCTCCAAATAAAGTATACATGGCATGGCACCTCTTGCTTTGAAAGATTACTACCTTCAAAGCTTGCTAGTATAAGAGGTTGTTGCGTAAGAGACAGCATTTGCATTAAATTAAAAGCCTTATTTTCAACAAGACAATGTTACATAATCTGTTAAAGCATTGATGTTATTTTATTTTACTTTTGTTTTATATTTGATGAAGAAATTATGGAAATTATTATTAACAAAACTTTGTCAAGCATTGAAATAAAAAAATCATGATATATTGAATGTTGTATGCTTAACATCTACAATAAAATTATTTATGTAAAAGTTAAGAGGTTATGGTTAAGATGTTCTTCTACAAAAAAAATATTTTTTTAATAATCAAGCTATTAAAATTTATTATATGAATGGTTTTTACTCTAATATAATTCAATCTCATCTACATAATATTTTGTGACAATTGAACATCATTATTATGTTAATATATTTATTTACTATGATTATTAATTAAAAGAATTAAATACTAAATTCAATAAAAAAAATAACACAGCTTATTACATTAAATAGAACTTTATATTCGAAAGAGCACTATGAAGAAGATTGAATCTACTACAAAACCCGATGAAAATATGAAGAGGGTGAGGGTTGGTTTTTGGTCGACAAGGAGAATGAGATAGTTTAAGTGAGAATATTTGAGACTCAACAATCCTCCGCACCTTTGCTGAGATGAGGGTCGATCTGGATCATCTCGATTAAATCTGGACAATCCAGATTTGAAGGTTTTAATTTTTATTTTATCATAAAATTTATAAAAATTGTAAAAAAAAAAATCAATAAATTCATTCAACCAATCTTGACGACACAAATTTAATCCTTATAATATGAATTTTATTAAAATAATTTAATCAATCTACTTGACTAGCAATCTGGGCATATCAAATTTAATGTGGATAGTCTAAATTTAATATTAATTTTTTTTGTCATTATTATAAATTGTCATTCTAAATATACTCTAGACAGTGCATATTTAAAATTTTTTAATTGTAAGTTTTATTTAAAAAATATTTTTGAAAATGTATATTTTTAAAGTGTACATCTAAATAGTCAGTTTTACAAAAATTCTGCACTGCCCATGTGTAAGGGAAATCTCACTACCACAATCCTCGCAAGTTATACATTTGGGAGACACAAGTTCCTCAAACACCACATCCATTGCATCTGGGATTAAATTAGGAGAGAATATCATCCCAATTCCCTGACACATAGGAGAGTACTTTTAATACAACCCAACATATACATGCATAAATAGGGTGGGTACAATTTCAAACCGACACCATACAATCTCAGACGGAAGTCAAATATCTCAACTGCTTTTCACAACGTATGATCCTTGAAACAAAATAACTGTTATACCAGCATATACATATGGTTGTATTTTTGGGACAAACCATATTGAGCTTGGAAGAATGATATTAGAGGGAGAAAGAGCATGATGAAGATGAACGAAGCTACTAGAGAACACAATAAAGATGAAGCTACTACAGAACACCATGGAGATAGGACAATAAAATTAAAATTGTGAAATATTTTTAAAACTCAAATCACAAGAAATATAAAAAAAAATAAGAAAATAAAACAAAAGTGTTTACAACCCAAAGATTTAAGCGAATTGGATTGAAAGGACAAACGAAGAACAACGGCGCAGATTATTAGGACAAAAGCAAATCATATGTATATATATGTGTATCCAAAACAAAGCACTGTATGGACTGCTTGATTAAATCTGGAGTCCAAGTTTAAAAGTTTTAGTTTTTATTTTATTATAAAATTATTAAAAAATTTTATATAATTCAATAAATTTGTTCAATCAATCTAGATAATATAAATTTAATCTTAATAATACGAATTTCAATTAAAAAATTTACCCAATTTGCTTGATTAGCATTTTGGGCAGCTAATATTTAATATAAATTATCTAAATTAAACTAAATTTTTTTTAATAATTCTTATAAATTGACATTTTAGATATACTTTGAACACTGCATAATTAAAATTTTTAAATTGCAATTTTTTAAAAAATATTTTTTGAAACATATATGTTAAAAATATTTTCTGTTTTGAAGATACCTTGATATTTAATTTATAAAAATGTACATTGTCCATGTGCAAAGGAAAAAACCTCTATTTACATATGCGGTGTAATTAAATTCCAACAAGTTCAATAATACAATTCATATCACATGCAGCATTTGTTATAAGTGCGTTGGAAAAAATCAACTACTTTTCTTTCATTTTCATTCTTAATTCTTCCCAACAAAAAATCTACGGACTCTCTTGACTGCTGCATCTGCAATCGGCTGGGGACGGGGTTTCTAAGACCAAGAGAATCAAAAAAGAGTTTAGGGTTGCTCAGGAGTTTTAAACAATAAAATTAGAAGAGAATTACAATTAGGTCTCATACAAAAAAATTAATTACTATAAAATTTATTGACAACTAAATTAAATTACATTGTATTGACAACTGATTGTGTTATCAATATAGTTTAATTTAGTTGTCAATGAACCTTATAGTAATTAATTTTATTATGTAAAATTTTAATGTAATTCTCCCTAAAATTAAAATAGTGAAATATTTTCAAAACCCAAATCACAAGAAATATAAAAAAAACTAAGAAAATAAAAACAAAAGGGTTTACAAGCCAAAAATTTAAACGGATTGGATCAAAAGGAAAAACGAAGAACAACGGCAGAGATTATTAGGACAGAAACAAAAATACATAAAATACATATATCCAAAACAGAGCACTATTAACCAAAAAACAGGAAAAAAAAATTCTGGAAAAAGAGAAATAGTGATATGAAATATGAACCTTTTTTGGTCTGGAGAAGATTCCAACTGGTATGTGCTTGAAAATCGAAGGAAGCATCTAGAATTACAAAACATAAGCAGCTCAAAGATGGGAATTAAAAAAGTTGAAACTGCTCAAAGAGTATAAAAATCAAAGAAGCTAGTGATACCCTGATGGAGCAACAAGGGCGACGGAATATGCGGCAAGCTGCGACGGTGACGGAAGGTAGGCTTAGGTCGGACGGCGACGGAGGGTCAGGCTGCCGAATCGGCGTCGGACTCACCCTGCAAAACCAGATCTCGTGGAAGCTGAAGCGGCGGCGGCGACAAGCCGTGACTTCGAAGACTGACGGTGGTGCGTTGACAGATGAAGACGACGGCGGTGGTTGTCGCTCTTCACGAGCTATGAGATGAGGAAGAGAGAGGGAGATCTGAGATTTTTACGAGGGGAAGGTAGATCTGAGATTTTGAAGGGAGGGATTGTGAGGATTGTGGCGGTCGAAACAGATAGGTGGGGAGGGTCTTTGGCTTATTTAAATAAAATAACAAAATAATCATAGGAATAATTAATTTACAGGTCTTTCATTTTCCACAGTATTAATTTAAAGGGCTGGTCCACGTGTAGAAAAAGTTTTGTTTGTTTGTTTATTTGTTGCTTCTGTTTGTTTTTTATTTTTATTAATATATTGAAACACTCTCGTACATACACGGTAGAGAGTTATTGTCCGTTTTTGTAGTAACATGGAACTAGAAGGGTGAAAAGGAATCCTTCCTTAACAGGACTTGAGAGAGATAATATTAATAGACTCATTATAGGTTAAGTAAATTCATTGAAGATATTTTTTTGGCCTGAAAAATTATTGAAGATTTGAGTAAAACAAAGTTCATCATAATGATAACTTAATCATAAATGAATACAAAATCTTCTTAATTTTAAATATTTATTAAAAAATTTAAAATTTTCATTAATCACTCTTATAAGATAACAAAATGCCTATATTCTTAAATATGAAAAGAGTTAAAATACTTCATAATTTTAAACATAGGATGTAATTCCCAACGTACTGTACTCCATTTTTTTCTATCATGACATCTTCATGTAAGATAGACATCGTCATGTGAACCAATACTTTTTTTTTGTTTTTAATATGCAAGTCTGGCCAAGAACAGTAAAAAGAAGACCCAGAACTGATTACAAAATGGTTCCTTAGCAGTCACATGCCAACTTCAGGACCTCATTATTTTCTTATGTCCAGTCCCTACGAAATACCAAAGATAGAAAAACGAAAATCTCTTCGTTTAAAGTGTGGATGCTGCCAAACAAAAAAACATTGGAAGTATGGATGGGCTCCAAAGTTATTAAAGTTGGGAGTAAAATTTCACCCCAAAAAAAAAAGTCAGGAATGAAAAAGAAGGCATGCGCGTGTTTGGTCAGAAGTCGAAATTTCGCTTTTTATATGAAAAATGGATCGTACAAATTGAAACTGCTTACATTTTTATACTAATATAACTCAACTTTTTACTTTTAGAAAGTATGGTTATGTTTTTTGAGTAAAGAAATGCATTCATAATTAAAACAAGATTACATTAAATAATATATATTCTATTAAATTACTCTCATCATCCATCACCTGATAGAGGTGAGGTTCTGTAAAATTCCAATTGTATGTTTGGATTTGCATTTAAAATTAATTAATTATATGGAAACCATGTTTTAGTAAAAATTACCCAAATACCTATGTTACATATTAAAATTAATTATGAATTTAAAATTATATTTTTTTAATATCCAAATACCTCTTCTCAATCAATTATGAACGAAAAAAATATGATTTGTAAAATAATTTATATAAGTTTTGGATAAATTTTAAAAATGTATAATAGAAAAATTGAATTAAAAAGTAGGTAGTATATAACCTTGGTTTTGAGTTCATAATTAATTTTGACATGTATGGAGGTGTTAGAATATTTTTAAGAAAATCATGATTTTGAGTTTATAATTAATTTTGGCATGTATAATGGATGTTTGGATATTTTTTAAAAAACATGGTTTGGATTTATAATTGATTTTAATATGTAACATGATTGTTTGGATATATTTTTACAAAACTATGGCTTTACCTTATTTTCAAATTCTACTTTTCAATTCCACCTTTCAATTCTATTAAAATTAATTTTACAAATCAATTATATACTTAACATAATCAATTATATTCCAAATCAATCATATTAATTAATTTTTTATAATTAATTATACTTAACTGAAATTCAAATACATCCTAAATCAAATACGTAAGTCCACAAAATCAATATCGATATTTATTGAGTATAATATATATATATATATATATATAAGTTGCATTATTCATAATCAATGAAAAGTGTTTTTCACATCAAATTCTGCGCAACACGCAAAAAGTGTGTCTAGTTAAAGTTTAATTCAAATGAATTACGGTAATATTGAGAATAAAACAATATAATGCTAAAAAAAATTGACCCGGGTAATAGCTGAGAAGCTTAAAAAAAGAAAAGAGGGAATTTAAGAATTAAGAATATGCAATATGAAGATATTCCTTTAGTAAAAAACTAGAGTAAGGTTACATACAGCTGCCTGTAACCACGCCCGCAATAACTCAAAGAGTAATTATATTCAAGTCTGTAAATCTTTAGAGTAGTAACGAGGGGCTTTCTGTTTCCGGAAATCTTTAGTGGCTATTTTGAATTTTGGGGGCACATTTATTCACTTGTTTGCCATTTTTGGGTGTGAACACTGAACAAGCAGCATGAACTGCTCTGTTTTTAATTTCTTATTTTTCACTTGAGCATGAAAAAGTAGAAGCAGGTAGAAGGACGTTCACATCAAAAATCAAAACCTTCTCCAATAAGGTAGGGTCCCTATTTGTCTCTTTTCGTAAATAAGCATTCATGATTGCTTCTCTTTCATGTACCACTACCTAGAAAGCGAAGCAGAAACAAGGATGGAAATTGGAGAAGCATTATTTATTTTAATCATATGATTAATTATGGTATGCTTAATTTTCATTAATCACGACATTTAGGCTTTACCTTGGCTTTTATTGTTTCCCAGAATGATAATATAGGTGTAATTGAAGGATATACCATTTCAATTTTTATATTAGATAAATGTAATTCTTTTCCCATAAAACCAATCAAATGTATATAAAGCCTAACTTCTTATGAAACTTGGGAAGTAACCCTGCCCAACTAAAGGTTTGTTTTGCTTAAAAAAAATGGCCAAATAAAATTACGAGTTGTACTACTCAAATGTTTCAGGCTAATATTCGAAAAATAACATTGCCCAAGTTAAATTCGGTATCAACTGTCAATCCCAAAGTAAATCATTGACAGCAAACAAAGTTTATAGCTTTTAGTCTCATGATTGCTTCCTACAATTTAAATATATTAGTTTATGTAATAAAATTTTGAGCGAAGTGCATTATTATTTACAAATTATGAATTTGTAGTGTAACCATTAAAACATGTCGAGCATCTCTTCTTCAGACCATCGACATTCTATGCAAGCTTTTGAAGGAAGTCATTTTTAACAAATTTGCAATCTTTATGTTATTTTGACTCAAAATCTCCATTCTAAGATTTTTTTTTAAGCAATATTTCGTTTGTTTCAATGATAGGTGATCAGGCGGTTATTTATTTATTTATTTATTGTTTATAGAGATTTTCTAGGAATCACTAGACTTCACCAAAAGCCTGATTAACTAAAATAATAAATCTTGTTGAATAAAGGTTCTCTCCACTTCCTTTTCCATCATCTTCCCTTCTTTTCCTTTTTAAACCATTAGATCAAGAGTTGGATGGTTCGGATTTGATCTCCTATAAAATTATTATTAAAATATAAAATTATAAAAATCCAAAATAATAAAATTTAAATTGCTAAAATATAGTATGGATGATTAAAAATACAGTAAAAACAAATTAAATTGAAATTTTATATAAGAAATCAAATCTATATCATCTTAATCCTAATATAATCGTTAGAAATTAGGAAAAGGGGATGAGCTTGGGGAGCATGTCATCAGAACAAAGCCTCCCCAATCATATCGTTGGCATATTATCTTGAATGATAATTAATGCCTAATCATTAATAAATCTGCCAATTATAAACCAGCCAAGAAATTATGAATTGAATTTTGCGTTATTCATATATTTTGGAAGGGAATGACTGAGATGAATATGATTGTGTATAAGCCTATAAGGCTTCATTATTAGTCTTTGACAGTTATTTTCGTTCTTCTTCAACTCACATGTCAAGCACTGTCACGTGCCTATGCTTTCAATGATTTAGAAAGTAAAGAATCTTCAATGGCATTTTCTTTAGGCAATTTTGTCAGATTACCACACAAGTGAATGGATGAGGTTTTTTTGTTTTATTTTATTTTATTTTTGGTTAAAATAAAAGAAAATATTAACAGTTGAGAGTCGTGACAAAAGTCCACTCATATAGTCAATTAAATTTGAGAAAATTACTGTAATGAGCCTTGTGCTATTAACTTGTTTTATTTTTATACAATAAAATTTTAATCCCTAAGTTTGTCTTAATAATCGATTTAGTTCTTAAAATTTAATTGTCATCAATCAAGTCCTTAAAGTTTGATACCCAATTTTACATTTTTACTTCATCTCATTGAGCAAGCAAATATTTTGGATGAGCAATGAAGAGGTTGTGATCCTTGATAAATTAAAATATTTATTTATAAATAACATGGTTCTAACATTAAAAACAAAGTCCCAATTCATGCATTTTTCACACAAATTGGTATACTTTTCTGCTGCACACAAGAATACATACTTTGAAAATCCTTCCATTAGTATTTTTGAAGGGTCCCAACAATACTGTAAAAGTGCAAATTCTTAACTTCTTTTCATTATAGTAATAAATGTTTAAATAATAGATTGATCACATAGTGAATGTCTTATATAGCATTAATATTATGCAACTCTTCTACTTTTAGCAACAATTACACATAACGTATTCTTTTGATTCTTTTCATGTTAATTATGAAATGCTTTACTTCACTTATATCTTTGTTGAATATACCTTTCTTTTTTCAAGGCTCTACCAATATACATAATCAATATATATATATATATATATAAGTTATATTATTTAGATGTATTTTTAACATCAATTAAGTGGTATTTTCTTTGAGCCAAATAAAATAGAAGCAGTTTTACAAGAGGAGATACTTATAAATAATTTCTTATGAAATGAATTGTATGTGACTTGCAATGGGTGATATATATTTGTGCAGGTACACAACGTATTCAAACAAGCTTCTTCTCACCGGCATTCCTTTGGGGATATTCTCTATGGCCTACAAAACTGACATAAATGAAATAACGCAATGAAAATGAAAATGTGGTCCTAATGTGAATTTATATTTCAAAAGCGACAAAGCTTCTTCTCATATGTAATGTACTATTTGGGGCTATTCTATGGCCTATAAAATATA